GGGAGACGAAGGAGTCTTCTGTCCGAGGAGCCTCGCAGCTGAGGTGCCGAACGCCATCAGCTGCTCTGCGCATTGAACTTCCAATTCAAGTCTCTGTGGCCTCTTGCTCAAAGTGCGAATTGAACCTCTCGATTCCATTATCATCTTGCGAAATTTAGACATATCAAACCGGGGCTTGATTGACCTGAAGACCAGGACTCCACATCACGCTCAATAACAGACCATTGAAATCAGAGCATCGGCGCCTCCTACGCGGCTGGCTTTCTATCTGAGACGGGGAAATGTGGGCGCAATTACTTGTCAAGAACGTCCGCAGAGAGCATAGCAATTCTGAATCCGTCAGTCGGGTGAGATAAGGTTAGAGTGCTCCGATACGTTGCGATCGGTACCTAATTGAATCGCGTGTCACGGAATCGTCGTGACATAAACCGCTCGAGCTCATACACTCCTCCGAGGGTCGATACGGCTTCTGGCATGCACCTCGGTTGTGTACTCGCATAAATGCCGATCTATGCTTTTATCAGGCGCTCCGTTGTAGACCAGACCTCTGAAAGTCCAAACTTAGTGCTCGGAGTGTCACTGGCCGACGTTCTTCTTTTGCTTACTCCTTTGGGTCCCACTTGCTCTGATCTATAAGCTTTCGATCGACTATGATAGTGAATTCGGTTCCAGCAGAGTTCCTGCCATCGAGTTGATGACCGAGAAAACTATCAAGGCATCTACTTCGAGCGACGCATTTCTGTGATGTCGGTTATCATGGCAGCTCCTTCGTCTGTTTGTGTAACGTCAGAACCGAATACAACCTGGAATCGTCGTTCACCATAAAGGGCACCAATTGGAGGAGCAATATAGACCTCGACGAAATTGCCGTTCACTAACTCCTTCTTCATACGCGAATGTTGGCGTTTGAAGACCTAACACATTGGCCTTTGTACAAGTCGTCAGTCACTGGTTATCTTCCGGGAGCGAGAACCCCACCGACCATGAGTTCCGTTTCCTCTGATACTCGCTGGTTTTTCTTCTGAAAGCGAAAAGGCTGAAGTCGTGACGACAGCATGATGTTCACCTTGTCAGCCCAGGTGTCTTTCGGCTCGTTGTAGCTCATGTACTCGGGCGCTACTTTCACTCGACCAAAGGCACCCAGCTTTCCATGGCTCAATTCAATGCAGCAGAAGCCGAGAATGACCACAGAAGTGAAAGAGCGGTTAGTCGAGGGAATCATAAAGCTGAATACAGCGGACTGGAAATAAGGAGGAGAATCATTGTTCGAGCGGTGGAGGCCTTCCTAGCGAAATTTGAGCAATGCGACGATCCGCGGTCAATGAACAAGTTCGTTATGATCCTAGGCTCGGGCGATAAGATTCTCATATATATTGGAGATACAGGACTGTGCGGACAAATATTGGTGGAAGAGGAGGATTCGACTGGAATCAGTGACAACCTATGGACAGCATGGATGTACTCCTGCACTCGACGACGGCGAGCAGGGTGTCTCGATTGAGAAGTGCGGAATTCCTTGCTCGAATTTCGAGATCAAACCCATTAGAGAGTTCAACACGACTCATCACGCACATCGACAACAGCTGCTTCAATCGACCATGCCCCAATTTTCTTTCACCGTCTCCCTCGCCTTCGTCGATTACGCGGCCCATCAGCCTCGCTGTCCTCATCTGACTCGCTCTCCAATCGTCGCGGTCGAAGCTGTCTCGCACGCTGGTTACTCTAAATCACATTCGAGGAAACCGTCGAATTATGCAAAGGCTTTTGCAGTAGTCCTATGTAGCCCACCCGTTGCACTTGACGACGTCGTTGTTTCCGAGCTCGAGATAGTGAAGCACATCCTCCGATGATGCCCAGGACCCCGGACCCTACAGAGACGCCTTCACCCCAAACAGATGCTTCAGCGTCTACCTATAAGGGCCCACCTTACCCAGTGACGCCAGTGATCATACCTATCGAGATGCATCTGGTTGAGTTGGAACAATGTGATTGAATCTCATCATAATTCAGCAGAGAACTAATGCCGCAGAGAGACAGTGGAGTTTCACCCGTTTTACGTGAAGTGGCGTATTACTCGGTGAAAAACGCGATATTCGCGGCCTGTACTAGTCGTGAAATATGTTTTTCATTAGTTTTCTTCATATCACAGGTGAAACTCCAATGTATGAATACCAAAGATGTCACAGCAGTCGATGCTTAGTGAGCATTGCTTACCAATGCTGCGTATGATGCTGATGTATTGGCTTGCATGTGAGAATAGGATGACACCCTTTAGGGCTCACTCGAGGGCGGGCATGCATCGCTCCACACTGTACTGAGTCGTGACCGAGACTACTGTGATGGTGATGATGCGAAGGGAAGCCGAGATGGGGAGTATGTCCGTCGAATAAAGACAGACCCCTGTCAAAGATCATCGCTTTCTTTGGAAATGATGAACACATCCTCCACAGTTGTGTGCGACTCACCAGAATACTGTTATATGGGGCGATGCTGCGAGTTCTTCGAGGCTGACTGGGGATGGGGAGTGACAATGCGGATACAAATCCATGCGGAATAAAAAGAGCCAATTATAGTGAGTCATGGAAGCGTCCGGTTGGTGAAATGCAACAGATTCTCGATAGTCCGTTCCTGATTGGATTCTGATGGCATGCGTTGACGCACAGAACACCCCCAATGCATCGAAACAACTACGGCGTAACTAGGACGGAACCTTGACTTCTTCAAGAGAAAGTAAGTAGAAGAACCTCGTCATCAAGTTGATAAGGAGGTTCTTTTACTTACTAATATTTACTAGACGCACTGGACGCATTTGCCGAGTATTCGCAATAGTGACATCGGTCTCGATACCACCCTCGCCAACCCTAATGAACCCATCAAAGAGATAGGAATCATCAAAGGCTCACTGAATCGGCGAAAAGACGGTGAAGTGAGAGTTCCTTCAGTGTGGGACGACGGTGTACAATACAACATGAGCTTCCCATAGCTCAGCTCATGGGCTCTCAGTGCCCATTTAGAATATGAACACAACATTGCAGATATAAGGAAAAATCAAATGCCATGATAGGCCGACGAGAAGATTCTTAGCCTTCTGTCGGCTGTGACAATGACCAGACTGAAGGGTAACTCCCCAAAGTTGCTCACTGCCTGAATCCAGTAATGCTAGGCCAGTACGGAGTGCAGTGAGACCAACATTTCACTTCAAGCCGAGGAAGTCAGTGTCCACACACTTTCTTGTGAGCTGACCAGCCTCGTCTCTGGCACTCCACACTGCAGTAGTAGACCGCCTTGCATCGCGAGCACAGCTTGTCGCCAGCCTTACCACAGGTAGCGCAAAGGTGATGGTTTCCACTCGGGAAGCCATCCGCCTCGGCACCCTTAGTAGGAGTAGGAGTAGTGGAAGTCGATGAGGAAGCACTCTTGCTTTTACCACCAGATGGCGTCTCTCTTACCTCCTTCTCATTCGGAATTAGGGCGCGGAGACGGTCTATCAACTCCTTGGGAGGATTGGAGGGGTCCACGTTGGACATTTGCTGCAGGAGACCCATGACCTCAGCCGTCGCCGTCGGATTCTTAGCAAGCCTCTCTTGCATGCTCTCAAGTATAGTGTTGGCGTCGTTAACCGGATTCGGGACGGCCTTACCACTGAGGCTGTACGACATAACAGAAGAGAATAGTGGGAAGATGACCATCGGTTTGAAGTGCCGCATAGCCTTCGATGACAACGGTATCTTCTTCCAGTCTAGCCAGGACATCCAAAACTTGTCAGCATCCTTACATAGATGGGAAGGTTTGGTAGAGCCACAGATGGCACAGTTGTAGGCATCTGCTCTGATCCGCGGTATACCACGCGTCACACGGGCGAGCTCCATCGCAGCTGGCAAGTAGTGATCAGTCCAACACTCGAACTCCCCACAACTCTCGTCTACTGTGATTGACCTCATCCCCCGGCGGCTTTGAATCCTCGACACCTCAGGGGCCACGTCGTAGACGAACTCGTGCTTGAGTATACAGACCGCACCCTTTATGACGAGGCCGTGGATCCAATCGTAGGTGGTATTGGGGGAGAGCAACATAATAACATCACTCGATGTGCCTCGAGCGAGGGACATTATAGCGCGGCCACCATACTCCTTGCCAGCAGCCCGGTCATCAAGGGTCGTGGAGTAGACGAGTGCGAGGGACTCCCTCAATTGGTTCGTAGCGGTACTCTTATTGGCCCGAATCTTCAATGGCAACATCCTACCAAAAAGGCCTCTGTTCATCCAACCCTGACTGTCGGCGACCGACTTCAACGTTGCATCGGCGACTGACGGGACCACCGAAACCTTCGATTCGCCACTACGGGAGGTGCTGAAGATCGATCGTGGCAAGGCATCACCAGTGAGAGAGCCAAGAGGGCAGCAGTACAAGGCCGGTAGGGTAATGTCCAAGGAGCCGCTGCCACGGGATACTTTCATATGGACATCATTGACGGCGACCTCCACTGGCAAAGTGAAGGTGTGCAGAGTGGCCCCGGCTGTAACTACGTCGATGGTCTGAGGCTCTCCAACACGCTCGTTGACCTCAACCTTCTCCTTCTTCTGTAACGATGCAAGCTCCTTCCCTCTCAACTTGGCCACAAACCGGACCGACCCGTCGGCTTTCCATTCGCGTACAGCCAGCGAAGGATCCTTCACCCCAGTCCCATGATATTTTCCAGGCAGATAGAGAGATCGATTGAGCGGTTTCTTCCTCAACACCTTCGCATCGGCCTCGAACGACTCCTCAATCACACTCAAGCTCGAATACGTGACATAAACTCTTCCAGTGACGGCATAGTGAACGACTACGTCCGGCACGAAGATGTGGAGCTCGTCACCCTCGACACTCTCGACCGGGAATACAACGTGGATACCCTCGTCGTTGAGTACCACAGATACCAGGCAGTAATCTGGGCCACCCCGCCGACGCTTCTCCAAGCTTCCACTGGAGTCGTTTTTCTTAGCCATTCGAGCAAAGGCTTGCTTCTCTTGGCCATCGCGGTAGACTTTCCAATCTCTACCAATCTTCACAGTAACATCATATAGGGTGACGGCCCGTCGTATCCTGAGGTCCTTCTCGAAGTCATACAGGTCACCATGTAAGTCAAGGAGGCCGGACAGCGACAAGGCGTATCCCAGTATTGTAGAAAAAGGCTTCTTTTGTACCAGGCGCATGATCGCACTCTCCTCGAAGAGCTGCATCAACTCATCGATGCAATCCGGGCTTAGGAAAGCCGCCAGAGAATCGACGAGACGGACGAAGGTGTTGAGGCCAACAGGGCGATCACACTTCAGTCTAACAGCGATGTCGAAGGCACGGTAGATGGAGGCTTTCAAGTCGTTGGAGTCGGACACGGACACTTGATTGAAGCCGGCATAACAGCGACGCCACCGCATCGGTACCATACCATGCTGCAAGGCGATCGCAATCAAGAAGCTCGAGAACGAACGAGGATAGGCCATCCACAGACTGCTGGGGTCTCGCTTGGCTGCCGAGTCGTGATGGTCAACAGTCGACCTTGCGAAGTCCAACTGTAAACCACAAGAGAATGGGATGAGCCATAGAGGAACGTTAGAGAGACAATCCTGAACGACTTCCTCCTCGTTGTTGCCGCGGCCTTTCATCACATCAGTAGCCAGACTCGCTCGAGGGTTGTCAGCTTTGGAGGCAAGCAGGGGAGCACACGCCAACAGGAGTGGCAGCACGCCAGTGTTGTCGCCGATGTTGGAGGTGTCAATGAAATCAAACTGATTGGGAAATTGAATTCCCTTCAAAGTCGCCCTTAACTTCTTCACTTTTGGTATCAGAGATGGTAGGGTAGCCCGAGGATCCCCTGGCCTGAGGGCATCACAGAGGGCGAAGGCATCACCACAGTGGAGTACTATCTGATGCCTCCCGGTGGTCAGAGCTGATGCCATTGCCTCTGATCGCTGACCGAAGAGCTCAAAGCACCACTGAGCAGGAGACAGGCAAGTCGAGCGAGAGGCGGTGACGAACTTCGTAGAGGGACGCGACAACTCCTCGAGGCATCTAATGAGATCCAACGGACAACTCTGGTAGGGATTGGCGAAGTAATGGACCCTCCAGACCTTCGCAACTTCACTAGCTGAAGCGCCCTTCGGCAACTTTGCGATCTTTTTAGGGAAGTCGTAGACGTCAGCGAGGAACGTTGGATTGACACACTTCCGCTCGGAAGCTTCAGTCGGTGAGAGGAAGCCTCCAGTGGAAGCTAAGATGCCCTCCAGTCCGACGAAGCCCTGGGCCACATACGAGGCGGTGAACTCCTCCAACCTTGGATCACCACCGTTGACCTTATGGACCATAAAAGTCTGATCGTAGGCTTCGCTCACCCCTAAGGCGTCGCTCATACGCCTCCTCGCAGTTCTAACACTCGTGAGGGCAATGCGGCCACTAAAGATACCCTTCTCGAGACCTTCACACCACCACTTCAACAGCTTTACCACAGCCGCCTTGTCACCGGTCACGTAGACGCCGAACCTCCCAAGGCCTTCACGACTCCACTTATCATCATCCTCAAGAGAGTTGCGGAGTTCCTGAGCGGCCCTCTGTAACCTCCCAGCCGCCTCTGGGGTGATGAACATCGAGTTGGCTACCTCCCAAGCCACGACGATGTCCTCTACAGTCACGTCTCGCCCGTCAGAGGAGGGCCTTCCGAGGAGTAGTTGAAGATGGAGGAGGGAACGAGCGATAAGGCAGGGCTCGAAATCACAACAGATGACCTGCAGGGGGGTAGCGCTCCATGAAGGGTCACTTCCACAAGTCTTGGACATGCAGTTAAGGAGGAAGGTATGAGCGACCGAGATGAGGTCGCTGCAACCGAGTAGCATCGCGCGAGTGGGGAGGTGCTGACCAGCCCCTCTAGAGGTCACACAAAGGTCTCTTGGTGGAGTGTTGGCGTAGGGATAGAGGTAAGTCCAATTGGATACCACCGAGGCTACAGGCAGGCAACTCAAATAAACCTGATCTTCGGCCATTTTGCGATGAAGTACTCAACTGCACAACGAGCAGTAGAGGACATCTAATCTCAGACTATCATCGACACAAGTAGGATTGTCTACATCTCCAACTACATTGAATAACACAATCCTTGGAGTACTTCGAAACCGATCGGTAGTCTACGTATTACGATCTCGTTGAGCCAGTACGTCGACCCCGGCGATGATCACCATCAACAGCAACCCCTCAGAATACATCAGCAGCCGTTGCATCTTCCGCCTGGAGGCGCTGGACCTAACCATGAGTACTTATCTAGCGACTCGCGAAAGACCGCTCACCAACTCCGGATCGTCAAAGTACTTATGGGCGTTGATATCTTCACCGATACCCTTACGACGGCGAGTCTTGATCACCTACACATTTACCACTTGCAATACTATTGCCCTATTCCTCAACGCCAACTTACGAACTCCCTAGCCAGATGCGGCTGTGGTGCCGGCTCTAGAGGACGCAGTATTATAGACGAGTCTAGCGGATCCCCTGGCACCACCGACCTGAACAACAACGACTCAGGGCGCCGTCTCTCTCAAGATGCTGCTCACCAGTGGTCGAAGACTGTAGTGCCGAATGCTTGGCCAGAAGTATGTGTTCGGAGATCTGTCTCAAAGCCGAAGGTCTCAATGGAGGGGATGTAGGCGTAGACGCAGAAGAGAGGAGTGCCGGGCTGATAGGAAGAGGAGTACGGCGAGAAACGATAGTAGATGCGGTCAGCTTACTCGAGGGACATCCTTAAGGACATGTCCTCTACGACGGGACAGGACGGTGTAGACGGCCGAGACACAGTCAGCTGGGCACTGAGATGAAAACCAGCTATGCGATGCTACTTACACCAGCAGAGATGGTACGTCTATCTCGGCGAACATCATCGGCTCCATCAACCTGGGCGTGGCCATTAGCATACTACTGTAGGCCACTCGTCGGGCTACTGGGATGATCTGACCCGATCCGAGACCAATACCGCCAGCCTAGGAAGAAGGGCGATGGCGCAGGTTCGAATCCCACAAGCGTCATTACTGTCACATTCGTGGTGACCACATCCAAGAGCTTGAACTTGACGTTGCGAACGTTATCCTCACAGAGAGGGCCTTCTCGAGTCGCCCACTGGAAGCCCGACACAACACTGTCCCGAATCTGCCACAGCGGAGTCACGACAGCCGGAACCTTTCTCAAGATCGACCTACCAAGTTGAGGGAGTTCCTAGCCTCCGCATCAGTCGCGAGCGTCTCATTGAGGATCACATTAGTGCCGTGGATAGGGTCAGCCCCGAAAGCCCTGAAGGGTTCATGCTATACGTCCTTGATGCGGGACTAGGCGACCTACCAAATGTTCCTGGCAGCAAGCTTATCCCAGCCGAACTGCTTGCCGAAGATATCCGCCCTCTCCTTCGTAGGAGTAAGACCCGTCACAACACCAGACTCAATCGCTTCTGCTATCCCCTGAAGACAACGCTATACCGCACCTCCGTCGAACCGCAACCCCCCACCTTCTCCAGCGGCTCGGCAATCATGTAAAGCTTAGCCTGCTTATTGGTACTCTCCGCTGAGCACTTGAACTGTGACGTTTCTATCACCGTCTCACAAAAGGGAACCACAGGATCCGAGACCTGAGATGACGATGTGGCAAGGAACCGGGCAGAGGCACCCACCTTGATTTCGATATCGCCATACAGCTTCCTCAAGTCATGTAGTATAACGTCCAAGTAGAGTTCGCCAGTGCCGATGATAACGTGCTCTCCCGACTCCTCCACCTTGCACTGTACGAGCGGGAAGGACCTAAAGCGTATCATAAGAGCTTGACCCTAAGATTCTCCGACTCACCTGTCGATCTTCCTAAGCCCTTCGAGCATTTTAGGAAGCTCTGACGGATTGAGCGGCTCGCAGGCAATCTACAGATACCAGTCAGAATGCTGACCACCCATCGAGCCTCTACCTTAACAGAACCAGTAGTCGCGAACTTCAGAGGCCGACAGATCTCCACATCATCTGTATTGTCTGCAGCTATTATTGTACCTACCACGAAGAGAATGCCCCGGACGGTGCATCAGAATGATTATGATTTTTCCAATTAGCCACAAAATATACACTTGTTCCGATAGCAACACCTCGAGGGTTCCCAGACGCCTATAGGAAGCCAACTCTACTGCATATCCCATACCTCATGCAATACCTAACCTATTCACAGTGTGAATGCTAGAGTCTATGAGATCTGTTCAACCACAGCCTCAAATGAGTAGATCCGTAAAGTTCCTATGGTCGGGGCAGAGGGTACCAAGACCCAACCTTACTTGTCTTGACTACAGCCGAATCCAATGATCCTCCAATGAGGACCCAGTTGCCTGCAGGCACATGAGATACCTCAACGCGGTACCTGTCGATACAGCACGATAACCTTATCACAGCAGCTGACAGCATGAAGACTACCTTCCTTCGTATATCCACAGCTGCTCGATTGTCTCCACCTTGGAGTCCTCAGGATCGTCCAACGTATAGCGCTCTCCTAGCACTCTGAAAAGAATATCATCCATCACCCGTAACTTCACGGAGTGGTCTTACTTAACCTTATCCCCAACTCGTAAGGTGCCAGACATGACTCTACCGAAGAGGTCAAAGCCGGACATGTCGGACCTGATGGGGAGACAGCTAGGGTGGCTCAAGGACGGATAGCAACCTACCTGTGATAGTTCTTCGAGGTGTGGACCAGCAGCTCCCCGTTGGCACGGAGGTTGCGCATGTCATCAGCGATCTGGCTGGTCTGATTGCCAGAGTAGATCTTAGAGATCTTATTCTGAAGTGGAAAAGGAGTGGTAGGAGGGAAGGGCGATAGATATGATCATACAGCAGCGTTCTCCTGAGGGCTCGGGAGCTTTGCTACGATCTGGTCAATGAGCGGCTGAGGACCGCCGAAGAACTGCGACAGAACCTTCTTGAGAAGGGACCTGAAACCGCAACTACTACCACCACCGACAGGGATCATCAAACACTGATAAGGATGATGAGAATGTGTATCGATTACTGAAACCTACTTAGTGGACTTAGCGTAGTAATCCTTCTGAGATAGATAGATGCCAACATCCCCTAGAGTCACTTGTAAAGACTCCTGCTCCTCGCCAATGGTATGACCGATCATCTTATACAGTGGCACTAGGAAGAACTCGACGAAGGTGCGCTGAACCTCCCCCTGGTCCTTTGGCGGGGACTTCACGAACTGTCCTGTCTTCTTGTCGCGCCATACATCACCCCACATGCCACGTGCCAACCGTCTAGCACACTCGTTAACTTGGTGCGGCTGCAGACCCCCTTCCTGAGAGGCTCGCCCAAAGGCTGCCGGCAGACCGTTGGACTCATTGTTCTGATCGGCCCCACTGGTTCGGAAGGCCTCAGTATTGGCCTCTACATAGTACTTGGCGAACGAGTAGGTAGTAAAGACGAACTGGTAGAGCCCACTGGCAAAGGCGAGATTGCCTCTGATGGGAGACACCACGTAGTCGTCCTTGTCCAAGCCCATCAGCTCGCATTCTTCTCTGATATAGCTGTTGAGCTCCTGTATTACATACCTACCACACCATCTTCAAATCCAGCGACCATGCCCCTCGTAGTACCTCAGTT